GTTGGATTAAAGATTACAAAGTACATGAATGTAACAAAAAAAAAATGATGTGCATGAAAAAATTATTTATAATAAATACTTTATATATCCACAGTATTCCTGCGCCCCATGACGCTTTGCGTGAATTATGGGTGTAACTTCCGTTAAGATGTAAACAATCAGTGAAAGACTAAGCTCTATGGACGCAATAATAGATTTTTAAACCTTTTACGATGACATTACATTATTCTACTCACCCTTCAACCATTGAACATTAAAAGGACATTTAAAATTGTAAAAGCATCAACAAGGTAACTTTCAACAGACCATGAATAATCTCAAAAGCATCTTTCCACAGCTAAATCGGTCGGTTAAATATCACTGTGGTAATCTGTATTATGTAACATACGTTGCCTTAATAAAAAAGTGTTTTACTTCATCATTACGTGAAACTATTTTAAAGTGATTTCAGTCATTTTGACAGATAATAAATTGTATTTACATGTGAAACCAAACCTGGAAAGAGACGTGAGGATTTGGAGAGGATCCAGTGAATTATTAATGGTATACATCGTAAATTAAATCGGGAGAACAGACCACAAATGTGCAGTATGTGTTGTCATACTATTACAGCGGAATTCAAAAGGAAAAAATAAAATAATGATGAGGAAAAGAATGCAGAGCTCTTACTATGGATATTCTTGTTATAACATGTCACGTTAAAATACCAAGTGTTACGGTATTCTCATGTTATTCTTAGATAAAACATGAAAGAAAACTGATTGCTAGTTAAGTCAAACTGACGGATCAGGTTTATTTGTAGGGCAACCTTATGATTTGAAATGATTCGTTTCAGTCTTTTTGAATGGAAGTTCCCCAAACCGGAAGTGCCGCCCATAATTCAAAACGCAGTAAGCTTGTCAGGAATAAGGTGGATACATTTTATTTAAAAAATTGTATAATAAAAAATGGTCCGTTTTGATTTCATGGTGACTTTAACTTGCCTGATAGATGTTTAAAAGAAAAAAGCTGTCTAAAGTGCCTGTGTTTGTGTGCCGTAGGCCAGGATCATGACCAAGCCTTCTCTAAGGTGGTGGTGGAGCTGCGTAAGAGGTATCCGGGCCACATCCTGCCTGACGAGGACCTGCAGTGGGTGTTCGTGAACGCCGGCGGGTGGATGGGCTCCATGTGTCTCCTGCACGCCTCTCTCACAGAGTACGTGCTGCTCTTCGGGACTGCAGTGGACACGGGTGGACATTCAGGTAAGTTCTGGTCATCTCCTCCAGTGTTGGGGTAACCAATTGAAAGTAGCGAGAGTTATATAATCGGATTACTTTTAACAAGTAACTAGTAAATAACGCATTACTTTTAAAGGCCCCCTGAAATCAAAATGTATGTTTTTTTTTTTTAGCTCTTAGTATGAATATGTTAGCCTTAAGGTTAAGAATAAGCTGGTGTGTTCCAAAACAATGACCAAATTTGCATTTAGGAGATATAAGCATTCAAAACTTAGTCTTTCACTCCTGCTAAAATGGATGACGGATTTTTATGACATCACCGTGGACTTCAGCTTCTCATCAAATCTTCTGTCCAATCAAATGCTCTCTAGAATATAAAGCTCCGCCCCCATGCTATAAACACCACCCGGCCAAAGCGACCGTCGATACGTCACGGAGCAATATGGGCTGGAGTATGAATATGGTTGAACCATGGAATATGGTTCGGTTGCTCAAACACTCGACTTTTATTCCGTTTTCCAGCTGTACGTTGGTTAAGAATGAAATGGCTAGAATTTATTCACACCTCTAATATTGAATCCAGCGTATCATCAGCGCTCGGATTCGCTTCCATGGTGCCGTCAAGTATGACTGCAGTCTGTGAGCTAAACTAAACGCTATTGGCTCTTTGAAAAGGGGGAGGAGCCATTCGATATGTCCCGCCTTAGCTTCCTGTTTCAGTGGAAATGATGTCAACACATCATACAAAGCTGCGCGCTCCAAGGCACTTCAGTGGGACTTTAAATTTACAACAATATATGAGTTACTTATTCACATTGACAGCACAGCAGATGTTTTGCCACAGGATTTCTTGAATGTTCACTCACTTGTATCTCCTTCAGGTCGTTACTGGGCAGAAATATCAGACACGATCATATCTGGAATGTTCAGGCAATGGAAAGAAGGAACGACTAAAAGCGAGACTTACTATCCAGGTATAACAGCCATACGTCCTCAGCACATGCTCTACGCTAACAGTGATTTACCCATAAAGCTTCATGTGGTTTGTGCTGGCAGGTGACACTATCGTGCATGCGGTGGGAGAGGCGACCTCGGTGCAGTGGAGCGCTGGGACGTGGATGGTGGAGTACGGGCGCGGGTTCATTCCCTCCACGCTGGGATTCGCTTTGGCCGACACCGTCTTCAGCACACAGGACTTTCTGACACTATTTTATACAGTTCGTGTTTACGTGAAGGGCATGATCCTGGAGGCGAGCACTTTCCTAACCGAGGCCAGCGTCCTTTGAAAACCACACCGCGCTGTACAGTACGTCCCGTCCCTTCGTTATTCGGATAATCGATCGCAGCGTCGGGTCAGAACCGACGTCGTGTTGAATTGGATGTATGGAAAGAACGCACTTAATGTAATTATTTTCCAACTATGAAAGTTTTTATTTTCCATACTGTATAAAGAGTTTATCAAATGTCTTTTCCAAAACATATTGTTGGACACAAAAAAAAAGTGTGTTTGTGTGTGTGTGTGGGGTCCAGTGTCTGTGTTTGAACATGGCAAGATGTTTTAGCAGCTAAATACTGTCCAGAAACGATTATAATAACGAGGTATGGATACAAATTTAAATAATAGTTTTCTGTATTTCGAAATCACCCTCTTTGCACCTTTAATATACTGTGAATATTAATCGCTGCTTTGTTTTTCATAAGATACATTTACAGTTTAAAACCTATGTTCAGCCTGCAGTCGCTCCAGAATAAAACCATCAATTAATACCGTTGAATAAGTCTATTTATTTTATTAATTTATTCACTTTCTTTTGTGTTCTGTTTTGTATGTCAAATAGGGAATGTGATATTACAAAACAAATTAATTGACAACATTCATATATTTCACTAAAACAGCTTTTTTTTTTTTAAAGGAGGGAGGAATTACTTGTTCATATGTGAAAGTTTTATTTTCCATACTGTACAAACAAAGAATTAAGAATTAAAATAGAGATTTATGTTTAAAAATAGGAGTTTGAGGGGAACAGTGCCTTGCGAAAGTATTCATACCCCTTCATTTTTCAAATTTCATGTTGCTGCCTTATGTTCAACTACTTTAAATTACTTTTTTTTTTTCACACATCAATCTACACTCCATACACCATAATGACAAAGCACAGATTTGTGACAACTTTGCAAATTTATTTAAAAGGAAGAACTGAAATAAGTACAAGTATTCAAACCCTTAACTCTGTACTTAGTTGAAGCGCCTTTACAGCCTCAAGTGTTTTGGGGTATGATGTGACAAGCTTTGCACATCTGCATTTGGCGAGTTTCTGCCATTCTTCTCCTCAGATCCTCTCAGGCTCTGTCAGGGTGGATGGGGACCGTCGTGGACAGACATTTAAAGGTTTCTCCAGAGATGTTCGATTGGGTTCAATGCTCTGGCTGGGTCACTCAGGGACATTCACAGAGTTGTCCATAAGTTCTGTTCAGCTCTAGAAAGAGCCCTGGTTGTTTCAAACTTCTTCTGGAGGCCAAATATACTTCTGTGAACCTTCAATACAGTAGAATTTATATTATGTAGTGTTCCCCAGATCAGTGTCTCGACACAATCCTGTCTCTGAGCTCTACAGGCCGTTCTTTTGACCTCATGGCTTGGTGTTGATGATTTTTACATTTTATTGAGAGGTGCGTGCCTTTCCAAATCATACTCATTCAATTGAGTTTGCCACAGGTTAGCTCCACTCGAATTGTAGTAACATTTACAAGTGAAACTGGAATGCTCCTGAACTAAATTTCAAGTGTCCCAATGAAGGGTATGCAATAGTTATTTCATTAATTTGTTGTAATAAATTTGTGAAGTTGTCACAAATCAGTTTTTTTGCTTTGTCATTATGGTTTATGGAGTGTATACTGATGTGAAATTGTTTTAATTCAAAGTATTTTTACATAACAACAGCAACGTGTGTGTGTCTGCGCCGGGTCACACACACACATGCGCTCATTGACTCCAGGTTCGCTGTGTTCGCTGTAGGCTCATGTCATGAGTGCCTGTGTGTTTATATCGCGATGGATCTCTCTTATCAAGCCATAAGGACTGCTAACCAGGCCAGAGAGGCGGTAAGCGCTCATGTTGTTTTCTCTATTAAACTTTGATTTCACAAAGTGCTTCCTTGTTGAGCTACAGTAAATCTGCTGAAAAATTGGAATGAATGCGTATAAAGAAACGAGTATATAAACACAAATAAATGGAGGTACGAATGTAATTTCGTTAATTACGAACGTACATTCGTTTCGAATGTAAAAGCCGAGTGTAATTTCAAATAGCCTTTCAGACCACATTTGTTCACCATTATTGGAGGGCTAGTTAGTTTAGTTACCTACTAAATAAGCGTGTTTACAGCTTACAGACAGTCTGTGGTTTACACAGCCATTGCGGGTCCTGTGTTGCTATAGCAACCTGTCAGGCTGCTCGTCGCACTTGTTTTCTTGTAAGATCTGGCGCCATCTTCCGTATAAACACAGTCTATATAGTGTAGTTTGTGGAAATATTTAACTAAATCGAAATGTTGCAACATAAATGTATCAATTCAAATGAAAACGTTATCATAGTAAAGTCATGACACGGCTTAATTCGAGGCTTAAGCCTAGTCCCAGACTAAACTGCATGTTTGAGCTGTTTTAACTGAAAGCAACTTGCACTGATATATCTTAAAATATGTCAGTCATTGTTTTGTCTCAAGATGAACACCAGTAATGTGTTTTCGAAGGCATTTTTATAAAAGCTACTTAAATTTCCTAATTCTGGCTTAACTAAGCCTTGTCTGTGAAACCAGGCCTAACAGTTTCTTAATATGATGTTATAAATGCATGGTCTTCTTTTAGGATGAGCTGAGAACTGAAACACGCAGGAGAAATTTGCTGGTTCTGATTTATCATCATTTACTGGAGGAGGGGTGAGATTTCCCTTTAAACACTTCTCAAATTGACATACTAGTCTCAAACGAGAGAAAGACACGCATGTAAATACATTTTAATGAATTTCTCACACAGGTATATGGATTCAGCCAAAGCCTTAGAAAAAGACAGCAGTTTTGGTTTATGCCGCTTCGATGTGTGTGATAATGTTGACCTGGACACGGTTCTCATGGAATATGAGAGTTATTATTTTATAAAGTTTCAGAAATATCCCAAACTAACCAAGAAACTGCCAGAACAAGGTGAGAGTTTACTCTTTGTTGTTATTTTACTCTTCATAATAAGTCACCAATATTTATGTTTTTTTTTTTTTTATGTTCTATGCTTTTGCATGTACATTGATATATATAGTGTATTCATATTTGTTAATACCAATAATGACAGTTATTATTCAGTGTTACTTCTTTCTTTATAGGTGAGAGTCGGCTTGTCAAGAGTTGTGGTAAAAGAAGGTATGTACAGTACTTTCAGCACAAGGACATTCAAAGACTTTCTGTTTATTGACCGTGTGTTCATATGTAAAAAGGACATCATCATCCAGTCAGACACTCCCAAGAATCAACTCCGTCCAGCGACCGCCGTCCAGAAACACTGTTAAAAGGTCTGAATCTAAACTAACAGGAAAAGACATCAGTAAACCCAGGGTGAGTCTCCAAACATCATCTATGAAAGCTTGTTTCTGCCATGGAATAAAAAAAAGGTCATTTTGAGTGAATATCTTATTTTGACTTTTCTCGCAATTTTGACTTTTTCTAAGATTTGTGACATTTAGCTAAACCAGGAATTGTGAGAAAAAAATACCTTTCTTAATTGCTAGTTTATATACTGTACACTACCAGTCAAAAGTTTTGGATCAGTAAGATTTTTTAATGTTTTTAAAAGAAGTCTCTTCTGCTCACCAAGGCTGCATTTATTTGATAAAACAAAATACCACAACAAAAATAGTAATATTGTTAAATATAATGACAATTTAAAATAACTGTTTTCTATTGTACTATATTTTAAACTGTAATTTATTCCTGCGACCAAAGCTGAATTTTCAGCATCATTACTCCAGTCCTTCAGTGTCACACGATCCTTCAGAAATAATTCTAATATGCGTAGTTCATGCTTAAATTTGTTAACATTCATTATAGTTATCATTATCAATGTTGAAAACAGTTGTGTGCAATTTTTTTTCAGGATTCTTTGATGAATAGAAAGTTCAAAAGAACCATTTATTTGAAATACAATCTTTTGTAACATTATAAATGTTTTCATACAAATCATCATATTAGAATGATTTCTGAAGGATCATGTGACACTGAAGACTGGAGTAATGATGCTGAATATTCAGCTTTGATCACAGGAATAAATTACATTTTACTATATATTATTACACATAGAAAATGGCTGTTTTAAATTGTAATAATATTTCACAATATTACTGAGGGTTTTTTGTGTATTTTAAATAAATAAATAAATGCAGCCTTGGTGAGCAGAAGAGACTTATAAATATTAAAAATCTTACCAATCCCAAACTTTTGCCTGGTAGTGTATCACAATTCTGACTTTTTTTTTTCTTGCAATTCCGAGTTAAAATATCAAATAAAAAAAACTCAATTGCAAGTTATAAACTGATAATTGCGAGAAATAAAGTCGTAATTGTTAGATACAGTATAAACTTGCAATTACAAGTTATAAAATCTGAATTGTGAGATACAAACTCGCAGTTGCGAGAAAAAAAATGTCAGAATTGTCAGAATTAATATCAGACTTTTTTCTCCGAACTGTGACATTTAAACTCGGAAATGCAACAAAAAAGGTCACAATTACCTTTTTTTTTTTTCTGTGGCGGAAACAAGCTTCCATATAAATCTGATGCATAATAATTATGTTTGAAGAAAATATTCTATCCTAAAGTGTAAATGTAAATTTTGTAATTAACATTAGCCTAAATGTTAAATTTAGCTTTGCTTGATCTGTCCAGGAAGGTAACAGCCTGACACCTGTGGAGACATCAGGATTTGGTCTGAATGTGTCTCCTATCATCAGGAATGGAGCTGAAGAGGGAACACACATGAGAAAGGTCATTCTCTTCTTTAAAAAACAAAGTTTAGAGAACCCGTGGAATGTTTATTCAAACATTTGTCACAAAAATCATCATTTTCTCCCCCTCACATCAGGGTCATCTGGTTGATTACAGGAATCTGATTCAAGATGCAGTTAAAGGTGCTGCTAATGACACAGATTTCTCGGTAGGTCCGCTGTATTTTTCATTCAGTTAAAGGAATGTTCCAGGTTGAATACAACTTAAGCTCTGTTGGGAGTAATTGAGATATTCAGTTGATTGCCACAAGTTACAGTTTTGAAACAACGAAACATTTATTTGTGTTGAACATTCTTCTCCTGTTGAGATGTGATATTTGTTATATTTGACTAACAGGAGCGTTTGCTGAAACCCATGAGTGCCTTCAGTGGGATGAACAGTGACATGAGGGAACTTGCAGCTGTTATTAGCAGAGTAAGTTCATTCTTATCCAACAATTTCTCTTGTATGGCAGTTTAAAACTATATTAGGGTAAACCTAATCTTATTTTTACAGAGCCCCTGGCCTAAAGGGACCTGGTGAAGGAAAAAAATATGAGAAAAATAATTTATCAATGCGTTTGCGTTCTCTCGCAAATGTTTTATGTTCCCCCAAGAAACTTTGCGTTTGCTTTGCAAAGAGCTCAAAACATTATCAAGTGAATGCAAAGTTTCTCGGGAGAACGCAAAGATTTTGCAAGTGAACACAAAGTTTCTCTGTGCAACGCAAAACATTTAGCAAGTGAATGCAAAGTTTCTCGGGAGAACGCAAAGATCTTTCAAGCAAACGCAAAGTTTCTCTGTGCAACGCAAAACATTTAGCAAGTAAACGCAAAGTTTTTCGGCGAACGCAAAATATTTTACGAGCGAGCGCAAAGTTTTTCGGGGAACGCAAAATATTTTGAGCGAACGCAATGTTTTTCGGGGAACGCAAAATATTTTATGAGCGAACGCAATGTTTTTCGGGGAACGCAAAATATTTTACGAGCGAACGCAAAGTTTTTCGGGGAACGCAAAATATTTTACGAGCGAACGCAAAGTTTTTCGGGGAACGCAAAATATTTTACGAGCGAACGCAAAGTTTTTCGGGGAACGCAAAATATTTTACGAGCGAACGCAAAGTTTTTCGGGGAACGCAAAATATTTTATGAGCGAACGCAAAGTTTTTCGGGGAACGCAAAATATTTTACGAGCGAACGCAAAGTTTTTCGGGGAACGCAAAATATTTTACGAGCGAACGCAAAGTTTTTCGGGGAACGCAAAATATTTTACAAGCGAACGCAAAGTTTTTCGGGGAACGCAAAATATTTTACGAGCGAACGCAAAGTTTTTCGGGGAACGCAAAATATTTTACGAGCGAACGCAAAGTTTTTCCAGGAACGCAAAATATTTTACGAGCGAACGCAATGTTTTTCGGGGAACACAAAATATTTTACGAGCGAACGCAAAGTTTTTCGGGGAACGCAAAGATTTTGCAAGTGAACACAAAGTTTCTCTGTGCAACGCAAAACATTTAGCAAGTGAATGCAAAGTTTCTCGGGAGAACGCAAAGATCTTTCAAGCAAACGCAAAGTTTCTCTGTGCAACGCAAAACATTTAGCAAGTAAACGCAAAGTTTTTCGGCGAACGCAAAATATTTTACGAGCGAGCGCAAAGTTTTTCGGGGAACGCAAAATATTTTGAGCGAACGCAATGTTTTTCGGGGAACGCAAAATATTTTATGAGCGAACGCAATGTTTTTCGGGGAACGCAAAATATTTTACGAGCGAACGCAAAGTTTTTCGGGGAACGCAAAATATTTTACGAGCGAACGCAAAGTTTTTCGGGGAACGCAAAATATTTTACGAGCGAACGCAAAGTTTTTCGGGGAACGCAAAATATTTTACGAGCGAACGCAAAGTTTTTCGGGGAACGCAAAATATTTTATGAGCGAACGCAAAGTTTTTCGGGGAACGCAAAATATTTTACGAGCGAACGCAAAGTTTTTCGGGGAACGCAAAATATTTTACGAGCGAACGCAAAGTTTTTCGGGGAACGCAAAATATTTTACAAGCGAACGCAAAGTTTTTCGGGGAACGCAAAATATTTTACGAGCGAACGCAAAGTTTTTCGGGGAACGCAAAATATTTTACGAGCGAACGCAAAGTTTTTCCAGGAACGCAAAATATTTTACGAGCGAACGCAATGTTTTTCGGGGAACACAAAATATTTTACGAGCGAACGCAAAGTTTTTCGGGGAACGCAAAATATTTTACGAGCGAACGCAATGTTTTTCGGGGAACGCAAAATATTTTACGAGCGAACGCAAAGATTTTCGGGGAACACAAAATATTTTACGAGCGAACGCAATGTTTTTCGGGGAACGCAAAATATTTTACGAGCGAACGCAAAGATTTTCGGGGAACGCAAAATATTTTACGAGCGAACGCAAAGTTTTTCGGGGAACGCAAAATATTTTACGAGCGAACGCAAAGTTTTACGGGGAACGCAAAATATTTTACGAGCGAACGCAAAGTTTTATGGGGAACGCAATGTTTTCCGAGCGAACGCAAAGTTTTACGGGGAACGCAAAATATTTTACGAGCGAACGCAAAGTTTTACGGGGAACGCAAAATATTTTACGAGCGAACGCAATGTTTTTCGGGGAACGCAAAATATTTTACGAGCGAACGCAATGTTTTTCGGGGAACGCAAAATATTTTACGAGCGAACGCAAAGTTTTTCGGGGAACGCAAGGGTTTTGCCAGCGAACGCAAAGTTTCTCTGGCAAAACATTTTACAATCGAATGCAAATTTTCTCTGGGAGCGCAAAATATTTTGCAAGCGAACGGAAAGTTTTATGGGGAACGCAAAATATTTGCGAGAGAACGCAAAAGCATTGACTTATTATTTTTCCTCTCATATTTTTTTCCAACTACCATGTCCTTTAGGGGCTCGTACATTTTACAAATGCACAAGATTGAAGAACATTTATCAGGACTATTAGGAATTTTCTTCAGTTAAGCTCACTCCCACAAAACCCTCATTAACGTCCTGAGTGTATGTTTTACTTTTAGTTTATTTGTAGTTTTATTTTTTCTCAATAATGATTCTCATTACTGTGATACAGTACAGAAAATCAATCTATATTGACAGTTTTTTTCAAAATGTATAAATCTAAATTACTGTCCACACAATGAAGATTCAGACTAAAAAAAAATGCTATTACAAAAATTATAAAAAAAATTCATGCACTTGAAGCATTACTTTTTTTTAACATATTTCTATTGTTGTTTAAATTAAAATCAACAAAAAGTAGAACAATTATTACGTTTTCATTATGCTAATGAGATTTTTTGGGGGATGTGACCTTAATTATCATAAAAATAAATGCAAAATACAATGCAAAATATCTTGATGAGCCTAAAATAGGCTTCATTTTCATTCATTTGATTTTGATGTTTCACCCATTATACCACATTTTACTTTAAAGACAAAAATAGGGCAATGTTTCTGTTAATGAAGAGACATTTGTGTTAATGAACGTGCATTTTCAACATTAATGCAACACTAGAGTGCAGCATACAGTCTGCTGTTTTATAATATAGCGTGGCATTTGTGTGTGCAGATACATGCACAAGGTGGAACATGTATTATTGAAGCACTCAATTTCATCTTTCTCTGCTGTCTCTCCATAAAGGATATCTATTTACACAACCCCAACGTGCGCTGGGACGACATTATAGGTCTGGAGGCTGCCAAGCGATTAGTCAAAGAAGCTGTCGTCTACCCCATTAAGGTGCTTGGCTGCTAAACACTTTGGTATTTCTCAAGCTGCCGCCTGCCTTCGATTCTGAATACATCTCCACTAAAGGCTACAGGAAAGCCGAGCTCAGGGTTATTTCTTACGATGACATGAAATCTATACCTGAATACCATCCAATCTGACCGCTCACATATCTGGCTCATCTCTGGCCTCTCTGGTGATGACTTCAAATCCACAATGCACTCCTGACAACAGGAAATGCAAACGTTATTTGTCTTCTCTGGCTCAATCATGTGGTGAAGAAGGTTGTTGTCATACCTGGAAATTCTGTTTGCTCGGTATTATTTGCTTCTAGCACATAAAGTAAGAATTGTATAAAGAATATGATTATATCACATTATGCTGAAAGACATCTTGTGGCTCGGTTTTGTCAATACTTGGAACTTTTCATGTATTAGAATAAAGTGGTGTCTGACAGTTAATTAGTCAATGAAAATATTACTCTGTTATTCTCCTCACCGTAAAAGTAAAAAAAAACGCAATTGATTATGGTCAGTTTTTAGTGGTGTTTGCTAAGACAGCTTGCAGTTTGCTCATGCTGTTATTTATCAAATTTAATCATATTTTCACATTAAACCTGCATCCTCGCAACGACCTAGCATCCACTCAAAAAAACGTAGCGACCACTCATAACACCTTAGTAGCCAATAAACAACCATTCAGAACACCTTCGAACAGCTAGTAACCACCCAACACACCTTAGCTGCCACCTAGCAACACCCTAGTTACCACCCAGAACACATTTTCAATTCCATAACAATCAGAGCACCACGGTAAGGGCTTAGCAACACTTACAGGCACTCAGAACACCTTAGCAGCCACCTAGCAACACCCTAGTTACCACCCAGAACATATTTTCAATCCAGTAAAAATCAGAGCACACAGCAATAGCTTAGTAACACTCTCACAGGCACTCAGAACACTTTAGCAGCCACCTAGCAACAACCTAGCCCATACCATTATAGCAACTATTCAGAACACTCTTTGGTCTAACAACAACCTAGATTATAACATCCTTAGAAACTTAATTGTAATGCCCTAGTAACCATCCAGAACACCTTAGCACATGCTTAGCAACAACCTAGCGATGGACTAGCAGCCACCCAGAACTCCAGTGCAACCTACAAGAAACCACCCAGAACACCCTTGAAACTGCTTAGCGAACACAATCTGCCTAACAACAACATCCTAGTAGCCATGACAAAGCCCACATAGCAACCACATAGTAATGTACTACCAGTCACTCAGAAAGCACAAAAGCGGTGCTAACCCTGGAGCTGGGTTTCATAACCCCGTTTAAAAAGCGGTGCTAACCCTGGGTTAAGCGCAGTGTGAAAAGCTCTATAGATCAGCACAGCAACAACCTAACAACACAAAGCGACTTAAAAGGCCTTAAAACTGCAACACACCTAACAAAATCCTAGTAGCCATGGCAAAGCACCATAGCAACCACCTAGCGATGTTCTAACAGCCATTTAAAAAACCTTAGCAGTCACCTAGCAACACCCTAGTATCACCCAGAACATAATAACATTCAACTTACTAGCAACTGTCAGAGCACTTGATCAATGATCTAACAACCATCTAGATTACAACATCCTTGCAGAACTCAAGAGAACCACAGCAAAAACCCAACAGTCAACCTAAGAACACTTTAGAAACGACCTAGCAACATTCCTGTAATCCCAGAACATCCTCAGAACTGTTCAGCAACCACCCAGATAACCTGTTAACCACCCAGTTAATCCATTAACAGCTACTTTAACAAACATTTACCAATGCCCTAGCAACTATCCACAACACCTCCCCTCTCTTTTCAGTATCCGCAACTGTTCACTGGAATTCTGTCACCATGGAAGGGTTTACTCCTGTATGGACCACCAGGTGTGACCTTTCTGTTTTCTGTTTGTATAAAGACAGAGTATTCAATACCAAAATATAAATCATAATAACTCATTTTGTGTGTAGCATGATCTTAATGTGATGACTTTCCCCCAAAAATCAGGCACAGGGAAGACGATGCTGGCCAAGGCTGTGGCCACGGAGTGCAACACGACTTTTTTCAACATCTCCGCATCCAGTATCGTGAGCAAATGGAGGGGAGACTCTGAAAAGCTGGTTCGGGTCAGGAGAGGACATTATTTTCTCAGATTTGTGTTATTTTATTGTTTTATGAAAGTGTTTGGTTGAAAGGTGTGCTCCGCGGATCAATGGTTTCCCTCGTGTTATGCTTCTCTGCAGGTGTTGTTTGAGCTGGCAAGATATCACGCCCCATCCACCATTTTCTTGGATGAGCTGGAATCAGTGATGAGCCAGCGAGGGGTTGGCCAAGGGTGAGCATGAGCCGGGGACTTTCACTGACAGTAACAGTATAAAACAACACAAAATCTCACTCCTAGTACACAATCCAATGCTTGGGTGTTGTGGACATTTGCCAGGAAGATATTGAGTGTGTTTGACTGGATTTGTGCTATAGTATAAAAACACTATCATACTGAATCAGTTTTGAAAATTATTAAATTACACCATTTTTATTGTGTTCTTTTAAGAGGTGATCATGAGGGCAGTAGAAGGATGAAGACGGAGTTACTAGTTCAGATGGATGGACTGGCACGATCAAATGATCTTGTGTTTGTACTTGCGGCCTCAAACTTACCCTGGTGAGGAGTGATTGCGAGGAAACTATATTAATGTTCTGTTATGGCTTTCTTTCTAATCTTTCTAATCTGTCGTCAGGGAGTTGGACCATGCCATGCTGAGAAGACTGGAGAAGCGTATACTGGTGGGTCTCCCATCTGCCCCTGCCAGACAAGCCATGATCAGCCATTGGCTTCCTCCGGTCAGTAACTCGGGTGGGGTGGAGCTGCGGACAGAGCTGGACTATCACTCACTAGCACAGGTGAGAGAAAACATGTGACTGAGGGACATGCACTCCACAGATGACAAACGTCAACACAGTTCTAGAGGGGCAAACAGATGGATGGACCGACTGAGTGATTCACAGTGATTGGTTGATTGATTGACAGTTGAATAAACAGACAGACAGATATATAGATATGCAGTTGTACTGAGACGTCTACTTGTGATATTTCAGGAGACGGGAGGTTACTCTGGGTCAGATATCAGGTTAGTGTGTAAGGAGGCGGCTATGAGACCCGTGCGAAAAATCTTTGACGCCCTTGAAAATCACATTGAAGGTAAGAAATATGCCACGTCCTACTCTGAACGACATTAAACTGCTGTTTCATCACAAAATCCCGTTTCACCCACAATTCACCGTCTCCATTACGCCATGTATCTTCACAGGTCAGTCCAATATGCCGGTTATTGAACTAGAAACTGTGACCACAGCAGATTTCCTGCAGGTGATCGCTCACACCAAACCCTCAGCCCGATGTCTGATGGATAGATACTCGGCCTGGGAGAAAGAGTACGAGTCTGTCTGACACATTATTAGAGCAACCAAACAAATGTTTTTATTGCACTGCTATCTACTCTTTTCATGACGCGATGCTGTGTTTTGTTACAAGTCTCACTGTAAATCTAACATTTTAAAGGAAATTACATTTAAAATTACAATTAATGGAGGGTATGCATTTTAAAAAACATTTCAAAATATAGTTTGTTCTCATATATTTCAAAAAGGTCAATAATAGATTGAAAAATAAAACACTTTTTCTTTATCTTTGTGTGTAGTGATATGATTAATAGGAGTACGCCAGAATAAGTGCATAAGGAGTGCAGCAACTTTATTATGTAATAGAGATTAAGCCTATTTGTTTATTTTCTTTTTACAGTGTGTATATATGTGACAGTGACAGTTAAATAATAATCAAACTACACAGTCCCATTATTACTTTGCTTTGTATTGTTGTAAACTCAGTTTTCCGACTGGTTAGATCCTAAGAGATGTTCAAGTATATGATTGACAGCGTCTGGAAAGCTGTCACACGTCAGGTGAGGCGGCGGGTTAATTTTACCCTCGTCACCAGGTCTATATTTACCTGCAAAATTAAAGGAGGCTTATTAATATCCAGAAAAATAACTATAACCACTGAATTATAAAACACATAATTGCATATGAATAATTAAACCTACCAGTTTTGACTAAAATTCCCAGCATTCCTGCGTTCTGTGCCCCACCAACATCATCTCTGGCATCCTGTACAGAGAGTTTGGATGGTGGTGTTTGTCAGATTAAATTATAAAGCAAACAAATCCAGTCAAGCATTTCTTCTGGAATTGCACAAAAATAAATGAACAATATTGGTAACACTTTATTTTAAGGTGAGTTATACAGTACATTACATGTACTTACTATAATAATAACAATACATTATGCTTAATTACAAGTAACTAGCCCTAAACTTAACCCCCTTGTAGCTAGTAAGTAGATGTAGTTTATTAATATCACCCAGTACGAAAGTGTAACAATAATATTTTGCTTAAAGAGAATTAATATTAATGTTTCACGACAGTTAAGAACAGATTTTTCCCCAAAATTATTATTGTCATAATGGAACTTGGGGTGCTTAATTGTCATTCATATTTAAATAAATAAATGTGACAACAATTATCCAATTATATATATATATATATATATATATATATATATATATATATATATATATATATATATAATACAATTTTATAGTGTTATTATTTAGTTTTTAGGGTGAAATATGACCAAGAAAAGTTATTCACAGGCTTGGTAAGATTCACAAAAATTTAAAGATTATACAATGTAAATATTCTAAATAATATGTATACTATATTTACGTATTATTATTATTATCCTTATTATTATTTTCATTATGTAATGACATTAACTGCCATGAAATATATAAATAAATGTCCTAAAATATCATTTTTGTTTATAAAATATATTTATTTTTTTGTTATTGATATTTAATAGTGAAATATAACCAATGTTCTTAACAGACTTGGTGAGATTGAGGCCAGTATTGTCTCACTCACGTCTCCTATCATCACAGCCTCCTCTGGTGAGCAGTTCAGGTCTCTCAAGGCCTCCAGGAAGAAGGCTTTCTCTGGTTTACCCACCACTGTGGCCCGGGTGTCCGTCGCATACTCGAGACCCGTCACAAACGGACCTGGTCCCAAAGCCAACCCGTCCTTCCTCTTATAGTATCGAGCTTTGTGGATTGCAATGAGGGGGGCACCATCTAAAATGAGTCTGATGAGGATTAACAGCAATATTTACACCACTAATTGAGAGGATTGGAAAATAATTTGATTGTCGTTTTAATGAGTCTATGAATATCTTACAAAATCAAGTAGGTTTACCGGAAGGCTTTATTGAGGGTCTGGTAGTTGAAGTGGTCCGGTGCTAATCCAATCACAACCGCGTTAGGATCCGACGTCTCTATACCTGCAGCAGAGGCAAGTGTGAGATCTACACTAACCATTACACAACAAACATGGAAAACTATGACTTTTCTTTACATTTTCTTCATATGTTATAAATGACAAATATGTGCTCTTAAAAATAACGGCTCTTCACTTTTAACCTTTCCATTCAACAAAAAGTTCTTTATAGTGCAAAAAGGTACTTTACATTTTTTAAATGTTCTTCACGCTAAGAAAAAATAGCTATTTCGCAGAAAGTTTCTTTGAGGAACCAATATGAAAGTTCCTCCTGGAGGGCCACGGTCCCGCAGAGTTCAGCTCCCACTTGCCTCAACACTCCTGTCTGGAAGTTTCTAGTATGTCTAGTAAGACTTGATTCTAGTATGTCTTGATTAGCTGGTTCAGGGGAGTTTAATTGGGGTTGAACAATGCAGGACAGCGGCCCTCCAGGAGCAGGACTGGATACATCTGTTTTTCTGCAGAAAGGCTCTGTTAACATCTGGTATTAAGATGTGTTTTGCTCGATCGGATCACAAGTAGACGAGGGAGACGCATTCCCATTCACACCTGGTGTTTTAATTCGTCTCTTTTGTCCACTTTCAACAACTTCTGTCCTGATTTCTTCGAGGGGAGGGTCTATGGGCGGGTAAATGTATGGGCTTTTTCAGATCTTTCAATCTATATGAACGCGACGGGAGACGTCGGAAAACACACAGAGCCGCAGCTTTAGTTTCTGCTCTGACAGCCGCAAGACCAGCCGAACGCTGTGAGTGTGTGTTAGAAATCAGGAATGTTGAGAGCACATTGTGCTTGTTCTGTCAGGACCACTATCGTCAAATACGGTTGACAATTAGCATACAGTTTGGATTGGCGGTACGATTCTGTTCTGGGCGAGAACTCCCTGCGCATCGCATCCAGTCAGCCTAGCATGGATAAGAGGGAGAGCACAATAACCCCTCTTAGGGTGAACAGAACAGAACCAACATGAATGTATTGCAGATATCATTAATTAATTTTAATGTACAACATAATTAGAGAATTTTAGTCTGATTCAGGTGTAATCAGAATGCCAAATCCTGACTGGCGACAGGAGGAGCTGGGGAGGGAGGAGGGTAACTCGCTCCTGAGAAACACGATAGCTGCTGATAATACTGAAGGAGCTTATATAATATATATGTATGTGATAGGCGTCGTATTCCTATAGGTAGACGTGGACCAGCTGAGAGTCAGCTGATGCGAGCTTGACTAACGCGACCTGCCAGAACTGACGCTTGATGTACGTTTTTCATCTTCAGACCAAACTTGGGTCTTCAGCCGACAAAGTTTAAATCCCGTCTGGCTAGAGCGCTTCCCGTAATGTTTACGCATTAGTTCAGTAGGCGGAGAGAAGACGTCTTTAGTGGCTCACATCTTTTTTTTCCGAAAGCAATCGATAAAGTTTTTCGACTACCTCTGGAAGTGGGCAAGCTCAAAACATTTTAGACCCCGTTTACGCCTGTATTTAGCGATGTCCACTTGTGATCCGATCGACCAAAACACATCTTAATACCAGGTGTAAACATGGGCTGAAAGTGTGCAAAACCATGCTATGGTGTGCATGGCTGCCCAAGCGTTGTTAAATGGTTGCTAGGATGTTGTAAATGGTAAATGTAAATGCTATGCAGTTGCTAAGGAGATCTAGTTTCCACCCTCAAGTCTCTATGATATTATGGGCTGCATCTGAAAGCTTAGGTGACTTGTTGCCACGTCACTGTTTTCACAAATTCATGTTTTTATAGTTTACACAGAGACGATAACGTATCGTTTTCAAAACCTCGCACTTTGAAACCCATTCTCAAAAGTTCGCGTTTTCAGGCCCCCAAAACACCATTGTCGTGTAAATGAACGGCTAAATCGCGTAAAAATGTTTCCGTTTGTAGTAGAAAACGGCGTGATGCAACGGCCCCTCAGATGAGCTGGCATCACTGTTGGTACCTGTGAAGTCCTCTCGAGCACTGTCCTCCAGCAGCAGCAGGGGGCGCACTGCGCTCTGCTCCAGCAGATTACGGGCCGCCGTGAGCGACGTGAAGATCTCCCGCTCCTGGAGGTCAAAGTTCAGCCGGCGCAGTCGCTCAAACAGGGTCCTCTTACATTCCTTCGTGGTGTTGGTCACGAATTTTACAGCGACTGGAGACTGTCTTAATCTGGACAAATGATATTGTACAATTAGTTTTATGGAAAACAACAGATGAAATATCTCACCTATGTAACATAAATGTTTTTGTTTTCAATGACACATCTATAGGTGTCAATCATTTTGCATATTTGTGTATGTTGATAATATTTGATTTTAATCGGTCTTCCTGTTGACGATGTATACTTTCAGTTCTGTTATGATTCCTGTCTTGTGTTCCCAGTGTGTGGACTTTTATGTTTTTTTCCTGTTCTGCGCCGTGTTTTGTAGTCCTGCCCCCTAAGACCAAAGCCAATGATTTTGTCTGAGCAATGAATTTAAAAAAAGTAATAGGATTCATATTTTCTCATTTTATTTGTCTTATCTTATTTTAGTGTAGAGTGAGTAAAGCTGTTTGTTGTTATGATGACAAAACCTTTAAAAAGTTACATTTTTAGGGTGATTACATTTTTAACTCAGGGGTCTAACAGCGCTCGTCAATGTATTTATTATGTCTATGATGCGCATGACATCAGCGTCGGCCTTAGTGACTGCGTTACACACACTGAGGGGCAAAAAGACTGAGCAGCAGCATTGGTTTTTTAGCGTGAATGAATACATTATATATTATGTTATATATTGCATTGACAACTCATCAATTAAATATTTACCATGGTATATTCTGCATAATTGAATGGTTTTAGATAAACACTGACAAAAAACTATACAAGTTGTAGGGCTGGATGATATATGATATGATATATATATATATATATATATATATATATATATATATATATATATATATATATATATATATATATAATATTGATATAAGTGATCACATGGATTTAACCTACCTATATTGTATTTTTTTATAAAGCGTTCACAGGCAAATTTGCTTTCCCCAGCATTGAAATCAGGCACATAAAAATGTCAGGAAACACAATGTTTGGCTGTATGTCAATATCCATGGATCACTGGATCTTTGGTAAGTTGTAAGGAACGCTATATCGAGTCCAACCTTAATTTTACTGATAATCGTTTGTTTTATTCGCGTTTTCGCAGTTTCTCCTATTAACTCCAGTCACTCAGCAGCTCTTCTGCCACTCAGTCCGGCTCAGCAGCTCTTCTGCCACTCAGTCCGGCTCAGCAGCTCTTCTGCCACTCAGTCCGGCTGAGGGCGCGTGTTCCGTGACGTCAATGCATACCCTATAGAAGACTATCACAACTTCCAACTCATGCTGAATAGCATTATATCATGTGTTATATAGCCTACTGATTTTTTTCCCAAACAAAATTAAATGATTGTGAAATCTGTCCAAATGCAGCCTTGATATATTGTGAATGCAATTATTTTAAAATATATAGCCTATATTATTCGTTTATATAGCCTTTATCAAAAACAGCCAATAATTTCCCCAAATCCCGGCACTGACCGTGTTAAAGCCTCTTGCGCTCCGGGGACGGCGGCATCCTCGACATGAAGAGTCCCGCTCAGATCCACCAGAACTGCTTTCAGTGTGCGGAGAGACACTTACACACACACACACACACACAGTCTTCAACACATCACTTAGGGTCGTTTATGTAAAGCACAAAGAAAAAAACGATCTAATTTTGTTTTAATAACTTTTTGTCTGGACTATATTACAAAAAATAAATAAAAAGAGGATAAACGTGACTGGCGTTTAGATTCTGGATTTTCGTGGATCATGTTGTCAGTTTCCGAGTGTGCAATAATATAATGCTCTTATTCACCATGAACTCTGGATTAAACACAATAACTGGCCTCCAAAACAACTCTTCATCTCTTCATCTGTGTTTGCTGTTTGACATCATTTTTTTAGGATTTGGAAACCCTACATTTATTTAAAACGAGCTGCCAAACAACAAGGGCTTTGGATAAGGTAAAGCAGATTGCCTCAAATCATTTAATAATCATTCAGTAATACAACGAACTAAGAACATGTAAATAGAGTAATGTGTGTGTTTAGGTTCTTATTGATTATAACATGAAAACCCGAGTCTAGACTACAAAACACGACATGCTATTAACATTCGTTTCCAAATAATTTACATATTTGTATTTTAAAATAATACAAAAGGATGAAACACATTTGACCAATACAAGTTATGTAGAGAGAACCAGAGAGAACTACACTTACTTCCTACTGGGGTCCTTCTCTGGCGCAGGCTTACATTTTGCTGTCCTAAAAATGCCTGTGGAAAATACACATGCAACTACTATTTATCTTATATATATTATCTAATATATATATATATATATATATATATATATATATATATATATATATATATATATATATATATATATATATATATATATCTTTTAACATTTAATGTGTAGATTTTTTTTATAAGAGCACACTGGATTTTCGCCACCATTGCAGTTTATAATCATTTAAGAGGGTTGTCTATGTCAGATTATTCACTCAATGAATAAAAAACATATGCTGGATATTTTAATAGCAGATTAAATAGCACATTAATTCATATCCTCCTGGGACCCAGGAACAGACGTTTGTCCTCTGTAGTGGACATAATATTTTGGTGAATTTATCTGACAGCATACATGTCACACTTAGATGTCTGTAGAGCACATTCAGGGCTTTTCGGAGATACCAACTGTTTGGAGGTTTCATCATGACAACTCCCTCTCCTTAGCCTTTTAAAATGACTGACATTAATCAAATGTAGCACTCTTGTGGAAATATGATCATATTTTGCAAGTAGGCCTATTATTTAAATTGTCATAAATCAACATCTCAGGAAAATGTTATTGGGTTTCTAATTAAAATATGACTTTCTGTTACAAAACAGGGCATTTCATTTCATACATGTCCACTGTAGAGACACTTACAGCATGCTTATCAGGCATTTTGGGAGACAAAAGTGAATAGGGAAATAGATTATATATCTATATTCCTATGAAATATTAGATATTTTTATGGAAATGTTGCAAATTATTACTTTTTTTTTCATTACATGTTGCCCCAAGAACACCGTAATATGCTAATTAGATACAGATACATTGTATTGAATAGGAAAACACATTTAAGGGCATTTTACCCACATATTGCATTAAGTAAAATGGTATATCAATTAATTCTGTTATATTTTTCATAGTTGAGAATCATCTTTTTTTTAAAGTTTGGTTTTAAAAAATCCTGAAACCTAAAAATTGATTGGTGAATGAAAAGAAAATTATATTGTTTTTGCCTATTCTGACATTTAAGTCTATTTATATTTTTTTTTTTAAAAACATGTTTGAAAAAAAACACATTTGATGTGGAAATTTTTTGGTGTCCTCTGTAGTGGTTTCTTATGCTTTTTTTATTTTTTATTTTTTTATTTTTATTTAAAATGTTCAAGGCACTATATTAAAGTAAAATCGAATTTGGTGATTAAATTTAAAAAGAAAAAAATACAAGAAATAAAAAGAATCAATATGCCCTTAACATCCTGACAGATCCCCATTTATTTGGGGTAATGGGGAACATATAACTTTGCTGCCCAAAATTCACATATTTTTTCTCTGCCATGAGGTAAATCCTGGGATTGGAGAGTTATAAAGACACATCATCTTCGGTAATAACCATTAAGCATAGATTATAAAAGGGTTAGGCTTTAATCGCTGTTCTGAGCATATGGTTGTAATTCAGCGTTTTATCCATGGTCTGGGCTACTGTTAATAAAAAGGTAGCTACTGTAATCCTGATGGAGTAATCTAGTGTTGTTAATGGACTCCATATGGTTCTCATCACTGAACCGAATGTACTCAATTTACCCCCTCAAACAACACACATTAAAGGCCTTTTCACACCAATAACGAGAACTATATTAGCGTCCACAGTCCACACCAAGGCCAATATTGTTCAGTGTATTATAAGCGCGCGCTGCAGTTTTATCGCCTGCCCCTTTAAATGCGCGAGCTCGTTAAAGGATGGATTCTGATTGGCTGTCAATTTATTATCGTTCATCCGTTGGAAAAAATCGTTCTGAACTTCTGATCCCAACGACATCGTTCATCTATAGTTTTGGTGTGGACTCTGCTATTTTTTATACTTCGAACGATTGTTATATCTATATTGTTATAGTTATCGTCCATGGTGTGAACGGGCCGTTAACCATTTCAACTAATAAATGAGAAAATGCTGACTCATCGTGGATGACTAATAACACAGGTATAGTGCAAACTCTCCAACATACATTGACAAATGAGGACACAATCATTTTATTAAAATCTGAAAATAATAATTGTTAAATGACTGGCTTATGAGGATAGTGGCTATTTTGGTCAAACGTTTCAATCCCTTCAGACCAAGTGTGTTGTGTCTTAAAGCTTGATGTCTTAACTATACTACGATTTCAGCACATCTTTATTAAAACTCGGAGACTTTAAATATATTAAACCCCACTTTTACTTTCCAAGCCCTCTTTGAAACCAAGACGCAAGAAGATTAGCTTTGGGGAAAAGAAAAAGAAAATCATTTCAGGTGTCAAAAGACAGTATGGCTTTCCCAAACCTGTCTGACTGATTCCACTGTTGCTTGTTCTAAGAAATGCATTGATACTTGAGGAACTGACACTTTCCTAGACCTTGAATGTGACAAAAACCAGCATGTACAGAGAAACAGGAGCTTCTGTAAAGTTACAAAACTTGAAAAAGAAAAATGTTTACTGGTATGTGTCATATAAAACTACCAGAGTACTTACAGTAATTCATTCAGGATACAATTTTCAGACATTGGAGAGCAACATTTAGAACCACAGATACAAAAACAGTCCATTTTCCTTGGCCACATTCACTGTGCTCCACGTTAGATCTTGATCCGCCGCAGTCCAGTCTTTCTTCATCCAAACAGTAATAGTAAGACGATACACACTGAATTCACTGCTATCAGAGGTACTGTGGAACAGGCAGAGAAAACACATTAATACTGAAGTCTGGAACATGTGCAGAAGACAATAAATGGACCTGTTTTCTCTTCAGAAACATGATTAAAGTCTCTATGAAATCAAAATAGACAAATCTTGTTTCTTTATGGAATATTTCAGTTTTTTTTTTTTTTAAATGATTTTTTTATTCATGTGCCTGGTGATCTTTAATCCAAATAACGTCCCCTCCCTCTTGCAGTGACATCTCTCCTCTTCTCTGATGGCGTGTTTACAGGCGTGCAGAGGTGGGAGAACGTCACACACACACACACGTTCATGTTCAAGTCTCAAGTGAGTCTCCAGTCGCAGTGCACTCAAACCAAGTAAGTCAAGCTAAAGATCAAGTCAGGTCACCGCTTATTTGCTCGGAGCAATAATAGACAGCGCAGCTCAGAACAGGTTTACTCGTGCGCCGATCTCGATCGCGCGACACCGTTACTACACAGCGTTGGAAGATCCAGTGAGAAAGCAATTGAATTCACTGCAGTATTAATAACATCGCTGCGAGATCTAGTGAGAATCATTCAAATTCAGAGCAGAATTTTCTGTTATAAACCATATCAGATCAAACAGCGATGTAGTGGAAACCAGGAGAAACATTGTGCCATGAACGAACAAGTAATAGAAGGCTTTTCAGTTCACAAATCACCAACATTCACCATGGACTTAATGTAGTAACGCTAACTGTAACCATGAACCGTCAAATGTTTTTGTTTTATTCCTTTCAGGGTTCATACAAAGTTTTGAGAGTGAAATTCGAGCACTTTTCAAGGGCTTTTAAATGCTTCACACTTTTCCAGCACTTCAAAGCTCTGAATATTATCCAGTTTAAATGTTATTTTTAATGTGATAACCAAAAACATTATTTGGTCATCCTTCAAAGATTGTCCCCATGTCAAATTAAACGTTTCAAGATGTAGGAAAACTAGCATGTGGCAAACAAACGTAAAAAACAAAACAAAAAAACATTTAATTACCACTATAACCAGTAGATGGCGGCTGGTATATACTCCATAATTTATTTATTTTAATTTTTTACTCCGTAATAATTTATTTTCACACGTTTTGCTTTTAAACCTATATTTAGATATGACACCCCTATTATAAAATATAAAATTATCAAGAAATCCATTTTTGTCAAAGTGACACTTTTTAGGAATTAGGTTGTTGATAAAAGTTAATTTTATCTGGATCTCAACTCAAGCTCAGTGCTTTACTGTCAAATGTTCAGTTCCAAGAAACAAACATGTATTATTAGTAACTGCACTTATTAAAGGTGGGGTAAGCGTTATTTGAAAAACGCTGTTTGGGTGTTTAGTCGGACCGACAAGAACAACAACGAACGTGTGAGCCAATCAGCATTAGCAGTATGACGGAGGAGGAGAGAGAACGAGCAAGAGGGAGATTTGAAGACAGACTGCAGAAATAGAGATTAGACACAATACAAAAGAGAAAAGCTCGGAAGAAATCACGGGAAATTTAAGGGTTATGTCTGGGCAAGAGCTTTATGACCCGCGTTAATAATAGAAACGCTGTCCAGCGCTGGAGAGAGCTAAGCTAAGGGTGATATGGCCAGCAGCCGTAGCCCAAGACTGGTTGAAGAAAAGCACTATATAAATGTAATGAATTATGAATTATAAGCGGGAAGGCTGCTTTGATTCGCTCCACACGCGAGTAACACTGGGTTTGAGTGTCATTGTGTGTCTGGAGCTGCTGTGCTGTTGGCAACTAACAACCAACTCTTGTTTGTAATTACTATTGTGTATAGGGATGGCCGATACCATTTTTTTTCAAACCGATACGAGTACGAGTATTTAGATTTGTGTACTTGCCGATACCGAGTACCGATACCGATATTTCTACCGCAAAAGTAATAGGCTCCCAGAAAAGAAGACGACTATTTTAGAACACAGGTTAGAAGACTGTTTTTATTTTCTTCTCTGCTTGTTTTAACAAGTCTAAAAATAAAATAAAAATAGTAAAATAATAAATGTATTATTAACACACAAACCACTGTTAATTTAACATAAAAGCAAGCAGGCTACTGCGTGCATGGTTTGGCATGACTGAATGCGCGCAAAGTGCGCTCCCTTAAATCCTAAAAAGCTGACAGTTCATCGCGATCTCACACATCTCTGTTATTATCAATGAAGCTGACTGCACAATGAATCTTTCATAATATCCACAATTTGTTTGTTATAATTAGAGGATTTGCCAGCATACAGAATTCAGCACTGAACAAAAGTCCGTTTTGAGC